GAAGTGTTCTACCATTCAGCTGGTGTTTGACTGGGAAGGGCCATTTTGAATGGCTGCTACTGACATAAACTACTCTGACTGCTGTTCATTAACTTCCACACCCAGTCTTTACTTTATGGGTTTGCTGGATCTGGATGTTCTGGGACGCTTGGATAAAGCGGTTTACTATAGGTTTACCCTGATGAGGTCAATGAAGTTGTTGATATAGTCTGGGTAGGCATAGGCCGGTGATCTGGCCAGTATCCTTGCGTTAAACGTCACAGCTCACTGTTCCGATGACATATAAACTTTTTTTAAATTAATAAATTCAGTAGAATCAGTGCATTAAAAGTATTCATTGGTTCAAATGATGTGTTTACTGACTCATTCAGTTCATTCAACTTTACTTTTGGTTTTGAAGCTAAAATGAGCTGCTGTGGTCACATAGTGTTTACATTTCTGCTTCTCTACAATACTAATAGCCAATAATCACGGCTCTGATTGCTTTGTATTCGTCCTCGTTAAAGGATTAAAAACGTCATTACAAAGGCAAATAAACATTGACTCGCAAGGTAAAATAAATACTTCCTGACTAAACTCAAGTCACGGCAACACTCAGTGGGTCACGTGACCGAATGAGGAATTTTTGTCATGATCTTGGCGCTGATGGTTTGGTTTTTTCCTTTGCTTCTTGCTCCCCTGTCTAATTGGTTCTGCGGCTGATTATCGTCGATCATTTCCACCTGGTCCCTCTACTATTTAAGTTGTGTGTTTGCCTCCCATCAGTGCCAGGTTATTCGTTTGTTTTGGTGTGATGTTTCCGAGCAATCTTTAGGCTGTTTATCTGATTATGACCAGTTTTCTGCCCTGTGGATCTCGAGTTTTGCCTTCCCCCTGTCTGCTCTGTTTTTCGCATCTGGTCCTGGATTCTACCGGCTTCTGAACCTGGAACTGTTTTCTGACTTTGGCCTTGGATTTCCCTTCTGGACTCTGTTGCTGCTCGGCGTCTGCTGCTCGCTCTCTAGGAACTCCGGGGGCGTCGCCCGCCGCAACTGCGGTCAAAGCTCCGCGAACAGACTGAACTTTGAATCAGGTGAGTGACTAGCTCCAAGTCATACTCCGCTCCACATCCAGTCACTGACCTGTATTCTCCTATCCCTGCAGAGATCTGCCCCACAGCAGGCGAGCAGCCCCGCGCACCTGTTTGTCTAATAAACGCTTTGAACATTCCCACTGCCTGTCTCGCCTTGAATTCTGGGTCCAATATTCTGAGTTCATTATAATTTTGGGTCGTCTGCTATGTTAGTGAATTATTTTACAGAGTTTATACAGGAATGAGTAACTGTAATTGAATGCTTTTTAATGGTCTTCGAAATATTTTTAATGCCATCAACAAGTACCCATGACTCTGAATCATATATTCATATATATATAGGGCAAAATCATCTTCTTTACTGTCGACAAGCTGCAGCCATGTCCCAAATTCCTCGTTTTCCAGCCACATTTGTTGAAATTCCGTAGCTTGATGATCAACAGAAAGCAGTTCTGCACAAATATGTAGCTTTTTTTTAATTAAAGCATTTTAAATGCCAAGATAATCACATTAAATGAATTTTAATGCCAATTAAGGCATTAGTTAAAAAAATTATTTAATGACTTTTAATGACCTGCGGAAACCCTGTTTTATGCTATAAACAACAAAATGTGGTTTTTTCACTTGTGATGTATTTAAATTGGTACCTACTATCAAATTAGAAACTATGTGTTTTCTATTTGAACTTTAATACCCGCAGTCAGCTACAGCATCTAGATACTGAAAATGTGTTTCCTCTCTTTATTTCTGGGAGCCGTTCACTAGTTAAATCCACTTCGAATGGATTATATGTGCTGGAGGACAACATTAAGCGCTTCTCTTCGGCGACACGTGTGACAACAAGGTGACATCTGTTTGGCACAGTGAAGAACTGACACACTGAAACCAAAGTTGCAATCTTCTTTTCTGCATGCTTTGTGAAAAATTCCACTTTCACAGATAAAATGAACTCTTTGAAAATAGTACCTGGCATCCCCCTCTCACCCACAGCTTTCCTTTAAAGCAGAGTCTGACTCTCAAACACAGGCTTCCTTTTTGTGATCATCCCTCCCCCCATCTATCCTGCTCTCTCCTTCTCTCTTGCATGTTTCTCTTTCTTTGAGACTGTCGTCGTTCTTTGCTCCGCTCAGTTAGTCTCTTTGGATGTGCCATTAATAAATGTTTTCCTTAAGATCCTGCTCTCATTATTCACTGCAAGTGAAGCATTTTAATTGTTGCCTGGAACCTGTTTTCTCTCTGCCTCTGTTTAATCTGAGTGAAAAAAAGGAGGGAAGATGGGACGTTTTGAATCTTAGTGTGTGTTTGCATGTATTACTGCATACTAAAAGACATGACAGGCATCAGCTACCCCCCCGCACCGCACACAGAGGTGCTATGGATTAATGGCTGCCTAAATGCGCTGACGGCGAGGGCCTCAGGACTCGTCTTGATAAGCTGCTTTCGTATGAGTGAAAAGGAGAATATGGGATGGGGGTAGGAAACAGGGTAAAGAAGCAAGAAAACCGTGACTGAAGTCGAAAAAAAGAAGTTTTAAGATGTTGGTATTTAAACTCTGTCAGTGAAAGTGGAAGTCTTTGACTTAAGGCTGATGTAATAAAGTTATCTTTCCTCAAACACAGACCTGTAGACCCTATAAAAATTTTGGTCAATAAAGTATATATAATCAGATGATTATCACCCGTTCATCGAAAATCTGACTTTCATACGATAGAATATCAGCCTGTTTTTCAGTGTAGTCCTGTTTCTCTGACTGTGACTGGCTGGATGTGCTCTCTTCATCCTCTGACATGGGAGCTGGCTCGGAGCTCATCTGCCTGGCTGGGTGTTTCCTGGATCGGGCAGCATTTTACAGTTGCTTTTTTTTTTTTTATCACAAAAAAATTAATCAATTTGCAAAATATTTGTTGGTTGCAGCCCTAATGAGACTAAGAAATAAAACTGAGACTAGCAGACACAGAGGTGGGACTAGAAAACACAATGAGACGCAGAATGAAAAACACAACAAAAATAAAAGATAAAATGCTTCAAGTAGCAAAAAAAAAAAAAAAAATGCAAGCAGTGGCGGATTTAGAAAATTTGGGGCCCTAGGCAAAGACAGGCAGGGGGCCCTTTGAACTGAGAAGACAACACATCAAACAGACCCATTATACAGATAGATTTTAATAAGACAAACATTATTTATTCTATGTTTTGTCCCTCTCTTCTTGTCCCTTTTCTTCTTGTTTTCTTCTCTCTGTTTTGTGCTCAGCTGATTTTTCATGCTGTCTTTAAAGGAATGAAAGATTTTTTCCAAGCACTAAGCTCACTTAGCTGATTGCTCCTTCCTGTGTTTCCAAAAAGGCCAAAGTAAATAACCCAGTCCTTCTTTTCACTGTAGACAAGCCATGATCTGCTTATCTGTTCTCCATTTTTCATTTGGATGAAATAATAGCTGCATGAATCATGACAGCAGACAAGATAGAGGAGAGCAGGAGGCGGGGTTACCAATCTACTCGCTCTGGAGAGCAGAGTTCGCTGCTTTTAGATGTTGTCTACAAAGTGTCCAGTAGCAGAAAAAAGTTGGTAGATTTGGTGCTAGGTGCTTTTTTAAATTAAAGTTCTAGAGGGGTCTGAAAAGTTGCTAAATATAGCGACTAAAGCACTAAGTTGGCAACACAGCTCTTCACACCGTTTTTTTTCAAATAGTTTGCTGCTGTCTGTTTTGACCTTTCTGAAAATTTTTATGAAATAATTTTGTATCAAAAACATAATTAATGTGCACAAAAAAGGACTAGTTGTATTAACCATACATGTAAACAAGAGTTTTATGGGGCCCCCAGGAACTTGGGGCCATAGACAACTGGCTAGTATTGCCTAATGGTAAATACCCCTCCCTGGCTGCAGGTTAACTAAAGCTGTAAACTAGCGCTACATAGCTTAAACAAATCTGGACATTGCTACCAATTAGTGTATATGTGCCAGACTGTTAGCAAAAACATAAATGGGAGGCTGTTTAGAGGATTTCTGGGGGGAAGAAAGGAATCTTTTAGCTTTCATTGATCTGTTTCAGTTTCCCATTTATACCTTCACTGGGGGTCTGCACCGTATGGGATGATGACTGGTGGAGGAGTTCCGGTTTACCTTTTGGACGGTAAATGTCCGGATGACATATTCAGCCAGGGGCTCGGTTTCTATCAGGGTCACCTTGATGTCTCCGTACACCTCCGTCTCATCGGGCCAGTAACGAACACACTTCACCTGGAAGACACGCGTCACACAAACACGCATGATTCTTCCTCAAAGAACAAAAAGGACTCCAACACATCCTAAAAGGTACAGATGAACTCACCCTTCCCACCTCCACCAGATTTGTTACCATGACGATAGAGGCTGAGTTTTCCTGCCAAACCATCCTCCAGAAATCCCTCACCGTCTCCTGCATGGGTCCTGACAGAAACACAAGAAGGACAAATCAGAAAAAAACATAATCAGCGGTTGATTCAGAACGTTAAAAACACGTAAACTCACAGTCATTGTTCAGGGTTAATTACCTTGTGTTGCGATGTAATGTCTGGGTCTGTGATAGCCCTGTCATTCAGAGACAAAGAGACATTAAAACGCTTTTTAATGTTGTTTACATCATTCTCAATACAATTCTGGTCGTATTTTATGTCTTATTTCCATCCTTAAAAATCTTCTACTCTCTAATTTAATTTTTATATCTTTGTTTTTTCCTTTTTTTTTTATTTACCCAGGTGCTGTTTTATGATTGAAGACATCAGAACATAGCTGCCGCTAATATGATGGGCAGTTCTTGACAGGGGCCAACTATCGAAATGGCGATGGCCCCTGACGAAATAATACAAAATGAATTGATGAAAAATAAATTCTGACATACACTGGAACAGAAACAGCATCTTACTTGGACCAACTTCATATTTTATCCTTTAAGCTTTACTTGCTGATGATATATATCAACCACAAATCAAGCTCTATTATTTTTTTCAAGATGTTTTCTCCTCTATCCAGGAGTCTTTTTTTTTTTTTGTCAGCTCCACCAGGCCCATCCATACTTGGATCACTGATGTTGAAGTCTATTGTTTATGGGTTTAGTGTTTGGCTTTTTGAACCATGATGAGGGCTTTTATGTCATTTTTGTTCAGTGAGTTCCAGGTAAGAACTGTAGATGCTTGGATGCTGGAACCTTATTCTTCTCCCTCTCTGTTTAGTGATGTTTTTTCCTTTTTAACAAAGATGGCATATCACCCCTCTTTCAATCCATTTGTCCTCTCTGTCCAAAATCTGAACTTTTTGGTAACCATAGGTGAGTCCTATGGTCTTAAAGTCCAAGAGGAAAGCTGGCTCCCTTATGCTGCTCCATAGGTTTGTTTAGTTCTTGTTTCTTCAATTTAGGAAGAACAATATGAGGAACAATTATAGGAATATTTCTATACAATATAAATATACAATATAGGAGGAACAAATGGTCATCCAAATGATTTCTACATATTCCAGTTTAATATGTGAAAAACTTTAATCTAATCTAAATTTAGACTTTAATCTCAGATTTGTGAATTTTTTTCTCAGATTCCTGACTTTAATCTCTGAATTCTGACTTTTTTCTCAGAATTCCGACTTTAATCTCAGAATTTTTATTTTTTTTTTTCTCAGAATCCTGACTTTAATCTCTGAATTCTGACTTTAATCTCTGAACTGATTTTTTTCTCAGAATTCTGACTAAAATCTCAGAATTGTGGATCTTAATGTAGATGGGCACCATGAAGGAAGAGATGTGGAATCACTCAGCTTTACTGAAAGGAGATCTCCACTTCCTGTTTGTGAAACCAGGGTCTCTCCAAACACTAATCATGCAATTATTGCTACCAACTTCCCCCAGTAAAAGAGATAAAGAGAGATAGAACTATGCTGGGATTAATGCATTTATCATTTTCACTAGAATGATTGACAATTAGGAGGACCACTTATTCAGATGATCCACCCAGAAATAAAAGATCGTCCTCTATACTTCCTCTTCTAAAACCATGTGTGAAAATTGCTGATTATTTTATGCCTGTTGGATGCTGAGATCAGAGGAAAATGATACTGAAATGTATGGAGTGCAATGTGTGCCAAAGCACAAATTTGAAAAACACACAATCCAGAAATGAAACTTTGAAAAATGTCTTGTCTAAAAAAGAAGGTTTGGAGTGAAAATGGATTTGCTCATTTATCTTTTAGGAAATCTTTTTATTTTACTGACTATATATTTTTGGTTTGAAATATCCCAGAAATGTGAATGAAAAAGCTAGCCAGAGTGTGGGGCTAATATTGATGCTGTGCAACTAAATTTAATGTATTAAGTTGTAGTGTTTTCATCCTGGTCTTTCTTTCTTGCTCTGATGTTTTTTTATTTTGTTTTATTTCTTATTTTTTCAGTTCTTTCTTTCTTTGAAAATACTTTATTTATAAAGTTATTATTCCCCCCAAAAAGGGGGAATAATAATAAAGCAGCCTCTTAATAAGAGATATCCTGTTCCTAAATTTTATGATAAAAAGAAAAGATAAAATGGCCAAAAAGGTAAATCCCAAAGAGCGAGTAGCTAAAACAGGAGGCATTAATCACCACCTCATCAGCTGGATGGTAGAGCGGTTTAGATATTTGCTGTATTTTTCCTATAACCTAAAGACATGACAGCAGCTGCTGTTTTTCTGAGAAGGACTGATTTTGTTCTCTGCTTTAAGACTCTCATCACTTTTGCAGCAGATATTTAGCAATTTGTGTTCAAGGCTGAAATGTGGACTGGAAATGTGTGAAAAGCTGCCAAAATGTCAAGAAAGCCATTAAACAACCCAGAGAGAGTCCTTAGAACCGCTGCAAAAGCTCACTTTACGAAACACAAGAAGGTCTGGCTGTTTTTAAGCAGCACAGAGAGAAAGAGGTGGTCAAAAAGTCACAATTCAAACCATTCAGATTTATCATCATTTTAAAGTTTGGATAAATAATCCTCCTTTTCTAAAACCAACTGCTGATTATTTTAGGCCTGTTGGATTCTGAGATGAGAGGAAAATGATATTGAAAAGTATGGAGTGCAATATGTGCAAAAGCACAAATTTGAAAAACACACAATCCAGAAATGAAACTTTCAAAACACTCCTTGATAAAAAAAAAAAAAAAAGGTTTAGAGTAAAAATGTATTTGCTCATCTATCTATTAGGAATTCTTACTGATTTTATATCTTTGGTTTGAAATATCCCAGACATGTTACTGAAAGAGCTAGGCAGAGTTAGCCAGTGGGTGGAGCTAATGTTGATCCTGTCCAATGCATCTAAATTTATGTATAAAGTTTTAATGTTTTTATCCTGGTCTTTTCCTTGTATGATCCTGGTATTTTTGGTTTAAAATATCCCAGAAATGTTAATGAAAGAGCTAGCCAGAGTTAGCCAGTGGGCGGAGCTAATGTTGATCCTGTCCAATGCATTTAAATTTAATATATCAAGTTTCATTTTAAGGTTTGGCTATTTTAGTTCTGTTGGATGCTGAGATCAGAGGAAAATTGTATTGAAAAGTATGGAGTTCAATGTGTCCCAAAGCACAAATTTGAAAAACACACAATCCAGAAATGAAACTTTGAAAATCTTTTATTAAAAAAAGAAGGCTAAGAGAGAAAATTTCTTTTTTATTTGTCTTTTAGAAATTGTTTTTATTTTACTGATTTTATATTTTCAAACTTTATCTTTTTTATTTTCTCTTATTCAGCTCAAGTTTTTCGAATTGCAATCTGTTCAAATTGCATTTTAGAGATAGCATTGTCTTCACTTGAAGATTAAAATGCTGTTGCTAACAACCAGCAGACCAATAGAACTACATCTTTGCTCCCGAGGAAAGCCCACCCCCAGGATGGAGAGAATCTGGAAAAGGCTTCTGAAAAGAAAGAATTTTGTAAAACTTAATCTGAAAAAAAGAAAAATAATGAGGAAAATATATATATAAAAAAAGGAAAAATAAAACTGCTAAAACAGCAACAAATACTCTACAAGTATTTTGTTGATGAAGTTTTTTTTATTCTTTTAAATTCTCTGTTTACAAAACATGTTCTTTGGATCGTTATTCAAAGCTCACTTCTTAGATGTGAAGAATTTCTGGATTATTTGACTTTTTTCAATTAATTTGAGGTTTTATTTAGGGATGCACGATATAATCGGCCCCCTATCGGTATCGGCCTGTATCGGCCTTAAAACTGAATATCGGACATCGGCCACCCCACCGATATATAACCCGATATTTTTTAAGCTTTTTGGTTTTTAAAAACCAAAAA